CCAGGTTGGTCAGGCTGGTCTCAAACTCCCGACCTCAGGTGATCCACCTGCTTCGGCCTCCCAAAGTGCTGGAATCACAGGCGTGAGCTACCACGTCTGACCCATAACACCATTTTTTATCCTCCTTCCCTGCTAGTAAATACAGTATTTTATGTTTTATTATTTTATTTTTTTGAAATGGAGTCTTGCTCTGTTACCCAGGTTAGAGTACAGTGACGTTATCTCAGCTCATTCCACCCTCCGCCTCCCAGATTTAAGCAATTCTCTTGTCTCAGCCTCCTGATGGCTGGGACTACAGGTGCATGCCACCATGCCCAGCTAATTTTTATATTTTTAGTAGAGACGGGGTTTTGTCATTTTGGCCAGGCTGGTCTCAAACTCCTGACCTTAGGTGATCTGCCTGACCCAGCCTCCCAAAGTACTAGGATTCCAGGTATGAACCACCATGCCCAGCCATGTTTTATATTTTTAAGAGAGGGTTTCATCTTGTTGCCCTGCTGGTCTCAAACTCCTGGGCTCAAGTGATCTGCCTGCCTCAGAGTCCCGGAGTGCTAGGATTGCAGGTGTGAGCCACTGCACTCAGCCAGGAATACAATATTTTAAATAATTATGTGCATGAAATGAAGTTTGTGTACATTGGACCATCAGAAGGCAAAGGGTCAGATGCGGAATTTTCCATTTGTAGCATCATGTAGATGCTCAAAAATTTCAAATTTTGGTGCATTTCAAATTTCAGATTAAGGATGCTCAACCCATATAATAATGTTTCAATTGCTTATTTAAATCACCTGCATTGTCAGTTACATCAGAGCAGGTCAGATATTCTACATTTCTGTGAATTCCCATGCTACTTCATAGCAATCTCAGGTATAAGTTGATTATATACTCTAGGCTATATATTTAACATTTTTCTTATATTTATTATTTTTGTGTAGATACCATTAAATTCACATAAACATCTTATATTTGTTCTTAAGAAACACTAGGGCTGGGCACAGTGGCTTAGTCCTGTAATCCTGGCACTTTGGGAAGCCAAGGCAGGCAGATCGCCTGAGGTTGGGAGTTCAATACCAGCCTGACCAACATGGAGAAACCCCGTCTCTACTAAAAATATAAAATCATCCGGGCATGGTGACACATGCCTGTAATCCTAGCTACTTGGGAGGCTGAGGCAAGAGAATCGCTTGAACCCCGGTGGTGGAGGTTGCAGTGAGCCGAGATCACACCACTGCACTCTAAAAAAAAAAAAAAAAGAAATAAAAGAAACACTACTTTAAGGTTTCCTATGTTCAAATTTCATTGACATGTAAATATACAAGGTGCTTAGGGTTGGGAATTTTTTGATGAGTCATTGCTTCCTATATTTAGTGGTGAGCAAGTGTAATGGTAGCCCCTAACAAAGAAGCTCTGCTCCTTCCTTTAGACTTCCTTGCCGCGGTGGACTCCTGGTTCAAGGTTTTGCTGCCTAAGATATATCCATGGCTTTACCACAATGGTGGTAACATCATTAGCATTCAGGTACAAGGGGGATATGACTGGGGCAGGGGAAGGAGGTGCAAGGGGTTCTTTATCTCCACCCCACAGCTGGGCTCCACTTTCCCTTCCCTCTGGCAGGTAGAGAATGAATATGGTAGCTACGGAGCCTGTGACTCCAGCTACATGAGGCACTTGGCTGGGCTCTTCCGTGCACTACTAGGAGAAAAGATCTTGCTCTTCACTACAGATGGGCCTGAAGGACTCCAGTGTGGCTCCCTCCAGGGACTCTATACCACTGTAGATTTTGGCCCAGGTCTCCAAGCAAGGGCCGGGAGTGGAGTCTGGGGAAGGGACACCTCTTCCACAATATTTGTTTTTTTCTTTTCTCTTTTTTCCGCAGCTGACAACATGACCAAAATCTTTACCCTGCTTCGGAAGTATGAACCCCATGGGCCATTGGTGAGGGACCAGAGAAGAATCAGAATCAGGGATGGGAATGGGTCCAGCTCAGTTCCATCTCACTCACAGCTCCTTTCATTTCACACTGTAGGTAATCTCTGAGTACTACACAGGCTGGCTGGATTACTGGGGCCAGAATCACTCCACATGGTCTGTGTCAGCTGTAACCAAAGGACTAGAGAACATGCTTGAGTTGGGAGCCAGTGTGAACATGTAACTAAAGACACCGAGGCCAATATAACTCTGTAGCTGGGAGTTGGGGATGAAAGTTAAGATTCAGTGAGTCAGCTTTTATCTTTTTCCCCACCCTCCCTCACTTCAGGTACATGTTCCATGGAGGTACCAACTTTGGATATTGGAATGGTGAGTCCAAATGGTCCCTGGGAGAGAAGCAGGGAGGTAACAGAGAATTAGAATCTAAGGGCTAGGTGGTTTCGCATGTCTAGAAGCTGAATATGGCCACCACTGTCCCCTCTAATGGCAAAATTCCTCTGTATGAAGCATGCTTAGTAGTGCCTGTCATCTGAAATAGATGTTGAATTAAATTGACTCAACTTCAGGTGCTGATAAGAAGGGACGCTTCCTTCCAATAACTACTAGCTATGACTATGATGCACCTATATCTGAAGCAGGAGACCCTACACCTAAGCTTTTTGCTCTTCGAAATGTCATCAGCAAGGTACCCTACCACTTCGTTAAGCTCCAAAGGCTTTTATTAATTTGGGGGGAGTGCCCACATTATAAAGGGATCCCATCAACTGGTGGTTATTGCCTGGGGCACAGCTCAGCATCTCACTGAGGCATTTCCCCATTCACCCAAATGGGACCATGTGCAAAGAAACACGAGTGTGCAAAATAGAGCTTTCATGACCCCTGAAGCCCTTCCCTGGGCCCCAGGTTAAGAACTCCCTAGAGTCTCATAATAGGTATTCTTGTCTGTGGTTTTCCTATGGCTTCTGAGAGAATTTGGGCTCAGTTCCAGGAAGTTCCTTTGGGACCTTTACCTCCCCCCAGCCCCAAGATGATGCTTGGACCTTTGACTCTCCACCTGGTAAGTTCCTCCGCATCTTTTCTCTGATACCACACCTTTGTTTTCTGAATAGCCTATTCTTTCTTGTCTTCTATCCAGAAACTTCCCTTATACTCTGATTCTTCTCCCTTATTCTAATAGGTTGGGCATTTGCTGGCTTTCCTAGACTTGTTATGCCCCCATGGTCCCATTAATTCAATCTTGCCAATGACCTTTGAGGCCGTCAAGCAGGTAAGACATAAACCCACATCTGGTGGAGATGACAACCTCCCTGAGCAACTACAGCCAAAAGTTCCTTGGCTATAACCACAGGGTTCTTTTGTATCTCTGTTTGTCTGAAGTACTCATTCTCCACACCCAGGACCATGGCTTCATGTTGTACCGAACCTATCTGACCCATACCATTTTTGAGCCAACACCATTCTGGGTGCCAAATAATGGAGTCCATGACCGTGCCTATGTGATGGTGGATGGGGTGAGAACCTAATTCCAGGCTGTGAGCCCTAGTTTCCTCTCTTCCCCAGGAAGTGTTAGCTTTAAGTTCTCCATATTTACCCTTTCCCACCTGCCTGCTCAGATTTGCAGAGGGTTCCAAAGATACGCTGGGATGAGGAAGAGTTTGATAAAGGATAGAGTTCTAGAATAGGGAGAGCTACATTCTCTCTGTCCTCCAAATAAGTGTCCTAATGTGGTCTCCTATGCAGTGGCTAAGAGCTAGATACTGAACCTTGCACCTATCCTATCTCCTATCCACAGGTGTTCCAGGGTGTTTTGGAGCGAAATATGAGAGATAAACTATTTTTGATGGGGAAACTGGGGTCCAAACTGGATATCTTGCTGGAGAACATGGGGAGGCTGAGTTTTGGGTCTAACAGCAGTGACTTCAAGGTGAGCTAGCTTTACCTAGTTAAATCCCAGGACTTGATTAAGGATAGCTTGGCCCCAGAGCTTAGTGAATGATGACTTTTCATTTGCCTTCCCTACAGGGCCTGTTGGAGCCACCAATTCTGGGACACACAATCCTTACCCAGTGGATGATGTTCCCTCTGAAAATTGATAACCTTGTAAAGTGGTGGTTTCCCCTCCAGTTGCTGAAAAGGCCACATCCTCAAGCTCCTTCTGGCCCCACATTCTACTCTAAAACATTTCCAATTGTAGGCTCAGTTGGGGACACATTTCTGTATCTACCTGGATGGACCAAGGTAATTGCTAATGGTGGTGGTTTGGGTAGCAGGGAGGCAAAAGAGAAAAATCACAGAAGGAGGGGAACAGATAGTATCCTTTGATTAGAAACCCACAAGGATATGATTCTACCCCCGAAGAGCTGACCCTTTCTTTTCCCCTCTTTCCTGCTCCCTATTCCCCAGGGCCAAGTCTGGATCAATGGGTTTAACTTGGGCCGGTACTGGACAACGCGGGGCCCACAACAGACTCTCTACGTGCCAAGATTCCTGCTGTTTCCTAAGGGAGCCCTCAACAGAATCACATTGCTGGAACTAGAAAATGTGCCTCTCCAGCCCCAAGTCCAATTTTTGGATAAGCCTATCCTCAACAGCACCTTGCATGGGCTACGTATCAATTCCCTCTCAGCGGATACACTGAGTGCCTCTGAACCAATGGAGTTAAGTGGACACTGAAAGAAAGGCTCACGCCTGTAATCCCAGCACTTTGGGAGGCTGAGGTGGGTGGATCACCAGAGGTCAGGAGTTCGAGACCAGCCTGCCCAACATGGTGAAACCCCATCTCTACTAAAAATACAAAAATCAGCCAGACGTGGTGGTGGGCACCTGTAATCCTAGCTACTCGGGAGGCTGAGGCAGGAGAATTGCTTGAACCCAGGAGGCAGAGGTGCAGTGAGTGGAGATCATGCCACTGCACTCCAGCCTAGGTGACAGAACAAGACTTCATCTCAAAAAAAAGAAAGGTAAATCCCTTGGACCCGGGACATGCAGTGGGCAGGATCCCTTGGTGCTGGCCACGGTGACCATAAGGAACTAAAGGTCACCATACCTCTGAATGTAAGCACAAGTACACATTCCTTGCCAAATTTTATTGTGATTAAAGTTCCAGAGACAGTACCAGTTCCACATACCTCTGTGGCCCTGTCTTTGCCCTGGTTCCCAAGTGTCCTTCACCTCCATCTTCCAAATAATCTCTGGTTTCATGGGGAAGAAAAAACCTAGAGCTGCTGTGAATATGCCCTCTCAGGGCCCTGAGTTGGCCCCAGGTAGAGCTGTAAGAGATCAAGAAGAGGGCCTCCCTGCCTGACAGCGATGATCCTGGAGGCAATGTGTGGAGCAGAAAGAGAAGTCGAAGTAGTGAAAGGGAGTGAGGCCTTGGAGGGATGCCCCACAACTCCAGCAGCGTCTGAACAAGAGGAAGAAACATGGGTGGACAGGTACCCCAGAAACTTTGCAATACAAGCTCTCCCCATCCCTCCTCCTGCCAGAACATCTCAAATCCCCTCAACAGCCCTTCTGAATACTGTGCAGGCACTCAGTTCACTTGTCCCCAGTGGTCCCTGCAACATTACGGCCCACCCATTCCTTCAAACCCCTGCCCCATACCGAGCATTGACGATTGCAGAGTCAGGGATTGAAGGGGTAGGGGCTCCCAACTGAGCAGCGAGTCGGCGCTCTGCGGCTAGAGCTCTCTGAGGGAGAGAAGTGTGTTAAGGAAAAGCCCCCAGTGGTGAGTAGGGCACCCAAGAGGTGACATCTGCACAATGGGGAAGGGATTAGACCTCTAAGGAAGGCTTGCCGTGGACAAGAGAACCTCCAGCCTCACCTTCTCTCGGTCACTGAGGGCGGTAAATCGCCGCTGCTCTTCTCGTTCCCGCTCCTCCTGCTCCTGCTGCCTCCGCTGCTGTTCCTCCCGTTGCCGCCGGGCTGCCTTCTGCTCCCTTTTCCGTGTAGCCTGCCGTGCCTCCATTTCTGGTGTCAATGGTCCTGGCACCTGGAGGATTTCAGATACAAGAACCTATAAGCTATCCTTGGTAGGCTGGGTGCGGTGGCTCACACCTATAATCCCAGCACTTTGGGAGGCCAAGGCGGGTGGATCACGAGGTCAACAGATCGAGACCATCCTGGTCAACACGGTGAAACCCCATCTCTACTAAAAATATAAAAATTAGCTGGGCATGGTGGTGCATGCCTGTAGTCCCAGCTACTTGGGAGGCTGAGGCACGAGAATTGCTTGAACCCAGGACGCGGAGGTTGCGGTGAGCCGAGATCGCGCCATTGCACTCCAGCCTGGGTAACAACAGCGAAACTCCATCTCAAAAAAAAAAAAAAGCTATCCTTGATAAAACTGCAAGAAGTAGAAAGGATCTAGCCAGGATCTGTGAGGCCTTCCCACTCTGTTTCTCCTCCTTATTCCAGCTGACCTGAGCTTTGTTGTAATCATAGGCATCTGGATTCTTCTCCACGAACCTTCGGAACTCATTACGTGTTGATTTGTCAGCCGCGACGGTATAAGGTGGCCGGGCCCGAGAGTCCCTAGGTGCAGAAACCCCAAAAATGGGTTTAACTTGCCTCCTGTCTTTCCCAGCATCACCCAACCAGACCAAGGGAATATTGTCAAGTAGCCAATGCCAACTTTAACCTCCAAAATATCCCCTCTATACCCAAAATGACTCGGAATAGGGACCCTTACTCACTGCACAGTGGGGTCGGCACCTGCTTCCAGCAGCAGACGAACTACTGAGCCTCTTCCAGCTGCAGCTGCTGCATGCAGGAGAGTAGAGCCACCAGAGCCCAAGGGGGCACTGAGCAGAGACAGAACTCCAGGGTCTCTAGGGCTGGGAGCCAGCTGGAGCTTCAGCACTCCAACATCTCCAGCTCGGCAAGCAGCAAGCAGCATATCCCAGAGCGCTGGCTGACCAGGGGCTTTGGCCTCATTCAGCAAAGGGCCCAAGGGGGCAGCAGCTGCCTGGGATGACTGTGCAGAAGGCTCCTCTTGAGGTTGCTGGAGAAGAGTAATATGTGCCCCAGCCTCCTGGTCCTGGCTTTTCCCCTTCTTATTCCTTTTTCTCCTCCTTCGCTTGGGGAATACTTCAGACTCACAAAGATGCAGAGTCCCCACAGTCAACTCCACTAGCTCCAACTCTACCTGGAAACCATCTTCTCCCTCCGACTCTGAACCTAGGGGAAAATCCCAACATGTGAAATCCATCTAGGGAGTACTCAGAGGGTGAAAGCAGATGCCTCCAATGCATAAGAATGAAAGCCTGAAATGAAATTGTTTTTATGTTGTCACCCAGATAAAGTAGCACATCAAGAGCTGAGTCCATTATATCACATGGAGAAAGCAGGCTCTCAGCCCAGACAAGGACAAGAGTCCTTATGATACTGCACAATAGAGGAAAGCATGGAAGCGCCCTCAACCCAAACCAAAGCATCCAACACAAGATCAACTACATGAGATCCACACAACACATCCACACAACTGCTCCATGCAAAGACTTTTCTAAGCTCTGGGGAAACATCCATAATAAATATTGATAGGGTGCGGCAGCTCACACCTGTAATCCCAGCACTTTGAGAGGCCAAGACAAGTGATCACCTGAGGTCAGGAGTTTGAGACCAACCTGTCCCACATGGCGAAAGCCCGTCTCAACTAAAAATACAAAAATTACTCAGGTGTGGTGGCGGGTACCTGTAATCCTAGCTACTGGGGAGACTGAGGCGGGAGAATAGCTTGAACCCAGGAGGCGGAGGTTGCAGTGAGCCCAGATCATGCCATTGCACCCCAGCCTGGGCAACAGAGCAAGACTCCACCTCAAAAAAAGAAAAAAGAAAGAGATAACAGATTTGGAAAGGTCATTAAACATGTCTCAGTAATTGCTAAGATATAGACACTCTGGGTGTGGGTTTAAATAAGGAAATGGGTCAGTTATGAGAGCAGGGAATTTGCCACTGCATTTCTAGGACAGAAACTCAGATCTGACAGTTGCCAGATAGTAATCAAACCCTGTTTGGGAGATTCCTCATTCTGCCCAAGTGCTTCCTTTTCATCACTGCAGATCTTTATTGCTTCCTCAGTAGGCTTCTTCCTCTCCTCTCTTACTGTTTTCCAGTGTGTCTGAGGTGAATGCAGTCTGACCACTTCCCGAGGGTCTTCTTCTGCCGTAAAACAAAAGATCTTTCTCAACCCTAGCTGAGAAGCTAGTGCAGGTTTCTCTTAATGAAGATGTAGCTGTGCTGCAGTCCAAGGCTTAGAAAATCCTCTGGATATACCAATAAGAATGGAGGCTTAGGCTGGAGAGAACAGGAAGGTCTCTAGGGAACCGGGATCTGGAGCAAAGGCTCACCATAGACATGCAAAGTGGTCAGCTTTTGGAGCACACGCTGTAGCTCTTGAAAGGTGGGTCTGCGGGTGGCGAGAGGTATATCCCAAAGTCGGGGATCCCCCCTTTGCAGGGGTGCCCCCTTGCCTCCAAAGAACAAGGACCGGCCAGAGCGGGGAGCATGCAACAGTATTGTATCAGCCTCCTCCAGCGCCTTAGCCCAGCCTGGCCCTGCCAGCAGGTCACGAACATCCTAGAAAAGAGAGTAACTCAGTCCTGCATACCTTTACTTGCTATTTTTAAATCTCCAACTAAAAAGACGGCCCACAGAAGTGCAAGGAGTGGAAAGAAGAGGATAACACGGAGGAAAAAATGAGAGGACTAAGGCTCCTGGGGAATCCTTAATCTGCCATTGTCTACCTATAAATAAGGAAAATTGGAAGGATATGAGTCAAAAACCTCCCTACTTAACAGTGAGTTGAACTGAGATGCCAAAAAGAATAGATCAGGTCTAAGAGGCTTAACTCACCTTATAGAGTGTGGCTTCATTGTAGCGCCTCAGGTTGGCTCCAGCAGAGCGTGATGCCCCACCCCGGGCATCCCGAAGCCCCTGGGCTGTGCCCCGCTTGGCTCGCACTGTGTATCGGTGAAAGGTTTTGTGTGTCACCACTTCTCTTCTGTAGACAGCACAGACTCAGTACTGGAAACCAGCTGGTGCTCCCTGGCTACCAGGATCCACTCCATCCTTACCCCCATGCAGCACCCTCTCACCCTTGAAATATGGCACCAGCAAAGTGCCCAGCTGCAGCCATGAGCACCACGCAGTCTCTGGGACCTCTATTTTGCAGGTTCTGTAGCAGGAGTTCTGCCTCTTCTGGGGGATCCTTGATGACAGAGAAGCATCAGAAACATATCTGTTGCATTCACTGACAGCAAGAAACCAAGTGCCATTTTTCACAAACATTATCGCATTTAATATGACCACCCTGAGGCTTGTTTCCATTTGACAAACAAGGAAATTTGAGGCTTGGAGAGACAGTCAAGAACCACAATTCTAACCTAAATTGGTTTGTTTCCAAACTTAATTCCATTATACTTAACTTTTCTACAATTCAGGCCAGTTTCAATCCAAGACTGTGTTGTTAAGCATGATACCCACACCCAACAGGAAGGAAGAGAAGCAGTGAGAAATGTACTAGGCTAAGGGAAATCTAGGCTGGGTATACAAAAGGCTGGGGTTAGCCATACAACCTGTACTGTCACTTGCCTGATGAGGGCCTAGGACACAGCGGTAGGCATAAAGAAACTGGCCCTGGGCATTCTGGAAAAGAACCCGATGAGGGTAAAAGCCTTGGGGTCGGTTGGGCTTCTCAAATCTAGCCCTCTCCTGATCCAGCGTCTGTAAGTCCTCCTCACTGGCTGAGTCTGAGTCTTCTGATCCTGAGATGCTGGAAAGATCTCCTGAAGACAGACAATAGGAGATATACAAGTTTGGTAACCCATCTTTGTTTTTTCCTCAAACTCTATAAACTAGTGCCTTCTTATACCTCCATGTCCTAATTCTACATAGGTTGCCCTACCAATCACCTGTGGAGCTCTGCTTTTCAAAGTCCAGGGCAGACAGGAGAGGCTTGTCCTTGAGACGCTGCTTTAGGTTAAACCGATGCCAGTCAAGCTTATAATGTTCCCTCTAGTACAAAGACAAAGAGTGAGATAAAGATGGAAATATGCCCCAGCCTGACCTTGTATACTGGCCACATAGAATTCTAGAAGTACGATCAGGTAACACCAACTGCCTCAGTCAAAGCATGGACCTTTATTGATTGATTGATTGATTGGTACGGGGTTTCACCATGTTGGCCAGGCTGGTCTCGAACTCCTGACCTCAGGTGATCCACCTGCCTCGGCTTCCCAAAGTGCTGGTATTACAGGCGTGAGCCACCACACCCCGCCTGCATTGACCTTTATTAAGACAAATCAAATGTCTACCTCTCCCCACCCACCATTACACTTTTGCTTCTAACATCCAGCTCTGCACCTGACCTGATACCTGTTCTTGGTGGTTCTGGAAGGTCTGGTCACATGTTGAACAAAATAACTTCTCTGAAATATCCATAGGACCCTGGAGTTGCTTTCTTTCTGGGCTTTCTCTCTCCCCTGAGCCTAAATAAGGGAAGAGTCATTGGACGTAGAAAAGGAGCCTAAATCCACAGTGACAAGAATTATATTCAGTATGTGATATACAAAGCAGAGGAGGATACAAAAAAGATGGCATGATACTGCCTTCAAGGAATTTACACTCTAGTAGTCATGAAATAAACAGCACAGCAATCACTTAATGCAGTAAACATGCTTCTGAAAAGATGTATGTAAAATGAGTGTAAATAAAATATTATATTTAAATTAGCCAAACAGATTGTTTAGGCAAATCCTATAGAAAATAATTTTGTTAAGTTTAAAATTATTTTTAACTGTACAAAGACCATTTCTCAAATACTTTTTAAAGTTTACATTTCCAATTAGTGTACAGTTTGTCTAAAGAGAGACACAAGAAAACATGGAGCCAAACTAAAGTTACACAAAACAGGCCCTGCACGGTGGCTCATGCCTGTAATCCCAGCACTTTGGGAGGCTGACGCAGGCAGATCACTTGAGGCCAGGAGTTTGAGACCAGCCTGGCCAACATAATGAAACCCCGTTTCTACTAAAAATACAATAATTAGATGGGTGTGGTGGTGCAGGCCTGTAGTCCCAGCTACTTGGGAGGCTGAGGCAGGAGAATCACTTGAACCTGGGAGGCAGAGGTTGCAGTGAGTGGAGATCACGCCACTGCACTCCAGCCTGGGCAACAGAGCGAGGCTCTGTCTCAAAAAATAAAACTATACAAAACAAATAAATTGTTTTATATTCAGCAAAAAGGAATAATTTGAGTGGTGCCCAGTTAAATCTGGAATATATCTGAGAACTTTAAAAATATATCTAGAGGCCGGGCGCTGTGGCTCACGCCTATAATCCCAGCACTTTGGGAGGCCGAGGCGGGTGATTCACGAGGTCAAGAGATCGAGACCATCCTGGTCAACAAGGTGAAACCCCGTCTCTATTAAAAATACAAAAATTAGCTGGGCATGGTGGTGCGCACCTGTAGTCCCAGCTACTCGGGAGGCTGAGGCAGAATTGCTTGAACCCAGAAGGCAGAGGTTGCGGTGAGCCGAGATCGTGCCATTGCACTCCAGTCTGGGTAACAACAGCAAAACTCCGTCTCAAAAAAAAAAAAAAAAAAAAAAAAATATATATATATATATATATATATAGAGAGAGAGAGAGAGAGAGAGAGAAAGTTTGAAGTGTTTTTGAAGCCAGTGGTGTTAAAGTGAGGAGACATATGCAATAGCAAGACTTCTTTGATAACAAGGGTTGTGCTGGAAATTACCCAGAGATTAAATGAATTTAATCAAGCAGAAAGATAAATAATTTGGCCTCCTAAGCTCGGGAACCAGTAAGAATGTGTTCCGTGAACGGGCAATACACTCTAAGGAGCCCTGCCACATTTCACATAGGTCCACTCCAAATCTTCCCAGATACCTGGACAGGAAGAACGCGGAGCACGAGCCAGAGCCTCACCGGGCGCATGGCTCGCCAGGCTCAGGCCCTGAAGAACCGGAGCATCCGCGCTGAGGTCAAACAGGGAGATGGAAGCAGGAGCCGGGGCTGCATCTGGAGCTGGTGACATGGCTGAGCAGAAATTATTTAGCAGCAGCTCCTGAAGCAGAAAGCGAGTAAGAAACACAGCTTCCCCAAACGAGATCCTACTGCCGCGTCTCCTGCTTGCCTGACTTGGTTTCTCCTGCACCGCAAGGCTTCTCGTCCCTCATCCTGCTACCAGGAGTCAGCTGTGAGATGACTACCTTGACCCCAAGCCGCTTTCTCAAACCCCCGTCCCGGCCCACAAAATAATGAAATACAGGGGAGCATCCAGCTCTCAAATGAATCCAACAGAGTTAAAAATCACTGAGGTTGCCTAGCCGAACTTTCTTCGTTACCCATGCGACCAGCAATGACGGGCCCACAGCAACTCGCCCACGCCCTTAGAAGCCGCACCAAAAGTCCCGGGAGCTGAGCAGCACGCACGTCCACAGGTCGATAGTCGGATTTCTGCAACACAACAGTCCCCGTCACTACGGAGCAGCAAAGAGGACAACCAGTGTCGTCCGCACCTGAGCCCCGCCCCACGTAGAGCACACTATTGGGCCGCTGACGGCCTAAGACCCGCCTCGAGCCCTTATCCCCGCCCCTTAAGCCAAGAATTGGCCGTTGTGTCTCCACCCCCTGCGCTTATTGGCCAGCCTGGCTGCGGGTGACAGTGAGTGGCAGACACCAGGCCTAGCGCTCCGGGTCTGGCCGAGCCGAGCCGGGCCGGCGGAGCCCTGGAATCACCCGGGTCACTGTTCCTGAGGTGAGACCTGAGACAGGTTATTGGAATCCCAGGGCTCGTGTCTGGCTTTGCCAGGGGTGCTTGCGGAGCCCTAAGTGAGCTCGCGGAGAGTAACGGGGGAAGGGGCGCCGCTGGCGGGGCGGGGGCGCGCAGCCGGAATGTTTTGATTGCGGGCGCGCGCGGACGAGAGCGCGCGCGGGCGACGAGGCCGCGCGTGAGGTTGTCCGCTGTTGGTAGCTGGGAACCCTTGGCCTGGGGCCGGGCGACCCTGGGGCGAGGTGGAGTCCGGTCGCCACGGTTGGGTGTGGGGAGGCAAGCCAGCCCACCCAGGGTATCAGCTGTAGGGCTGGCTCGATCCCTGCAATATCCGCAGGAACCCCTGAGCCCAGGCCCTGCCGGCTGGGGCTCCACGGGCCCTGGTCCACACTGACCCTGTGAGTGGTGACTTCCCTGAGCTTCAGGACTCTCACTAGCCCAGGGAATCCCACCGGGGCCAGCCTGGGCCAAGATCCAAGGCCCGGAGGGGCTGCACGGACAGGTGAGTACCACCTTGACCGACCATGCCTGGCTCCCACGAGGGAACCCACAAATGCCCCTAGGATCGGGGGTCAACACTGACCCCGTCAAGGTTTCCCATCCAGCAGCTCTGCCCACCTGCTGGGTCTTTGGTGCTCGGGAAGCAGGAGACGGGGTTGACCAGAAAGGTCCTCTTCAGGAAAGACTCTATTGGGGTTTTGTGGACCCTGAGAAGTATGTCATTTCTGAGGCTGAGATGGGGCAATGGAGAAACAGTCCAGAGGGGTCCCTGGCCTCAGACCTGTACCGACTTACTCTCCATGGGGTCCCTAAGTTACTTCTTGAGACCCCAGAGTTGGAAGAGTGGCCCTGTTTAGCATGGTCAGAGGAAGTGCTCGTAGTCCTGGCTGGAAGGGTGCTTCTTCCCCACTGCAGCCTTCCTGCCCCGTGCTTGGCCTCCTCTTGGTGGGGTGTGGACGGTTGGGAGGGTCGGGTTCTTTTTAATCCCCACTCTCTGGGGCCTGACATCTTCTCCCCCAGCAGCTGCAGAGCATCGAGGGCTGGAGTGGAGCACACACTGTCCATGGAGCTGGTAGGGCCATATGCTTTTCTCAAACATTTGTTTACAAAATGCTTCCAAATTGCCAGTCTCTTGGGAGACCAGGGTTCCCAGGATGGGCAGGGGAGGAACTCTTCTATCCATTAATTAGAAGATGAAACAGCCCCCAACAAAGGGGCCGATCCTGGATTTGGGCCAGGAAGGCAGCAGTAGACACCCAGACTGGCCAGAGTTAAGGCCTCCCAAGTCCTGAGCTTATGGCCTTCCTTGTATTACTACTCCTCTTCCTCTCCAAGGAGGCTGGGAGTGGAGACAAAGCTGAAGGGTACTTTCTCAGTCCTTTTGGCAGTAGGCTGGGCAGCCAGGGGCAGCAGCTGGGACTGAATCAGGGTCTCTTTCCTCCTCATTGGCAGGTGGTCAAGGTGGACAGGGGGTGGTGGTGATGGCGCAGTTTGATACTGAATACCAGCGCCTAGAGGCCTCCTACAGTGATTCACCCCCAGGGGAGGAGGACCTCTTGGTCCACGTCGCTGAAGGGAGCAAGTGTGAGTTCTTGGACATGCCAGCCAAGGGGAGAGTTGATGGAAGAGCACTGAGGGAGCAAGGGGCTTGTGTTCCTTCAAAGCTCTGACCTCTCTGTTCCTGTGCCCACAGCACCTTGGCACCATATCGAAAACCTTGACCTATTCTTCTCTCGAATATCCTTTGTGTCTCTGAGTTGGAGCTTGGGGACCTTTAATGTCTCTCTAAGCCTGGTCTCTGGTGGGAAGGGGGGGTAGGTTTGACTATAATCCCTGGAAGGGGTAATGGAGCTCATCCTGAGGCTGAAAGGGGCTGGTGAAATCACCATTAAGTAATGATAGCCCATATTTACCAAGATCTGTTCCTGTGTCCTCTCTGTGTTGTTAATTTATAGAAACCTTTCTAAGGGTGAGCCTCCTTTTTTTTTTTTTTGAGATGGAGTCTCAGGCCAGGTGTGGTGGCTCATGCCTGTAATCCAAGCAATTTGGAGGCCAAGGCAGGCGGATCACCTGAGGTCGGGAGTTCAAGACCAGCCTGACCAACATGGTGAAACCCCGTCTTTATTAAAAAATAAATAAATAAAATGAGATGGAGTCACTCTCTCTTGCTGCTGGAGTGCAGGGGCAATCTCAGCTCAATGCAACCTCCACCTCCCAGGTTCAAGCAATTCTCCTGCCTCAGTCTCCCACATAGCTGGAATTATAGGCAAATGCCACAAAGCCCAGCTATTTTTTGTATTTTTCGTAGAGACAGGGTTTCACCATGTTGGTAAGGCTGATCTTGAACTCCTAACCTCAAGTAATCCACCCACCTTGGCCTCCCAAAGTATTGGGATTACAGGCATAAGCCACCACGCCCAGCCTAGCCTCTTTTTTTGATGGGCTGTTAATAATCGTAGTAAGTAATGTCTTTTGACTCATTCTGTGTCAGCTCTATGTTAAATGCTTTACATGCATTATCTCAGGTCTACTAGTCCTGAGATAAGTGTTATTTATTCCTAATGTACCACTGGGGACACAAGTTTACAGAGGTTAGGTAACTTGGTAAAGTCACAGAGCTAGGACTTAAACTTCACTGTGTTGACACCAAAGTCTGTGCTCTTACCTGCTGTCTTTACTGACCACTTTTTCTTAACAATTACACGTTTATAATCTACACCAGAAGAATGGCTTCACTTGTATGCTCATCGGGGAGATCTTTGAGCTCATGTAAGTTTAAGAAGGGACAGATGATGTGGTGACGGAATACATCTTAGTCTTTCCTTGTACTCATGCCTGGCCCAACCTGCTAATGCAACTCAGTCCTACACTAAAATGCTGCAAACCTTTGTAGTTCAGGGACTGGGTGTAGCACCAAAACTTACAGCTTCACCTTTTTTTTTTTTTTGAGATGGAGTGAGTCTCACTTCGTGGCCCAGGCAGGTATGCAGTGGTGCCATCTTAGCTCAGTGTAGCCTCTGCCTCCCAAGTTCAAGTGATTCTCCTGCCTCAGCTTCCTGAGTAGCTGGGACTACAGGCAAACACCACCACACTTGAATAATTTTTAAAAATTTTTAGTAGAGATGGGATTTCGCCAAGTTGGCCAGGCTGGTCCACGCCCGGCTAATTTTTTTGTATTTTTAGTAGAGATGGGATCTCGCCAGGTTGGCCAAGCTGGTCTCCTGACCTCAGATTATCCTCAGCCTTCCCAAGTGTTGGGATTACAGGTGTGAGCCACCATGCCCAGCCAAGCTTTCTTGTAAGAGCTTTCTAAGCTGTGTCTCTTCCATGAAGAGAACCCAGGCCTTGGCTGGGTGTGGCGGCTCACACCTGTAATCCCAGCACTTTGGGAGACCCTAAAAATATAAAAATATTAGCTGTGTGTGGTAGTGCACACCTGGAATAATCCCAGCTAGTTGGGAGGCTGAGGCCCAAGAATCACTTGAACCTGGGAGCTTGCAGTGAGCTATCGGGCCACTGCACTCCAGCCTGAGTAACAGAGTGAGACTCTCTCAAAAAAAAAAAAAAAAGTTCAGTCAGGTGCGGTGGTTCACACCTGTAATCCTAGCACTTTGGGAGGCCGAGGTGGGTGGATCATCTGAGGTCAGGAGTTCAAGACCAGCCTGGCCATCATTGTGAAACCCCATTTTAAAAAAAATAACAAAATTAATAAATAAAACTTCAGGCCTTGATCATTTCAGTGCTCCAATGGAATGTACATGGTTCAGTCAGGGAGTCTCAGAGATGCCAGCCACAGAGAAAACCTCTTCTGCCTTGGCTGTACCATGGCCTGCTCCTAGGCAGACAGCCTCCCGGGAGAGAGAAGCCATATAGCATTGCCAAAGGGGAAGGGGTTAGGAGGTTCTCCCTCAATCAGAAAACTTCCCCCAAGGGCTTTTAACTATAACCTCAAAAGGAAATCAGGGACTGGAGATCAGAGACTCCCAGGATGAAACCTTTGAGAGTCCAGTGATAGTGGCTGAGTTTACCATGAGGTGAGGAAAGCAGGCTGTGGCTGTGGTGGCTAAGAGCAAAGAGTGAGCCTGAGATGGGCCTGAGCCCCTATGGGGCTGAGCAGCAGAGAGGGCCCAGTGGGAGTTCTCCAGCCCCTTCCAGTTCCCAGTCTTGTCTTCCACCTCCAGACTCTGCTCTTCCCACTGTGTTTCACTGGGGCGTCTCTGGCTCTCAGACTGCACCCCTTCTTCCCAACTCCCCAGGCAGTTCCTGTTTGTGGTTGCCTTCACTACCTTCCTGGTCAGCTGCGTGGACTATGACATCCTATTTGCCAACAAGATGGTGAACCACAGTCTTCACCCTACCGAACCCGTCAAGGTCACTCTGCCAGACGCCTTTTTGCCTGCTCAAGTCTGTAGTGCCAGGTAAGGGCTGCGAGTCAAGAGGACACCATAGCCTTGAGTTCTGCTAGCAGGCGGGTAACAGAGTGGAGTCTGAGGCAGCAACTCATGCTCCAAAACTGACTCAGGCTCAGTCTAGCAAAAATACTTCAGGAAAGCAGCGTCTCTGCCAAGACTCCTTCCTCAAGAGCTACCTCTCCTCCCCTTCTTTTTCCCCACAAGGATTCAGGAAAATGGCTCCCTTATCACCATCCTGGTCATTGCCGGTGTCTTCTGGATCCACCGGCTTATCAAGTTTATCTATAACATTTGCTGCTACTGGGAGATCCACTCCTTCTACCTGCATGCTCTGCGCATCCCTATGGTAAGACTGGG